GGTGTGGATAATAAATGAATCATCAGGGAGGTGCCAGCCTAAGAATCCGATGTGGATCGGCCGAAGAAGGCATCAAGTGGAAACAACCAGAGGACCCCCGGAGGGCAGACTGGAATCCACCCAACAGCCTCAAGGATGGGAGTACCAAAGAACAAGATAACATCTGGCAGCACAGAGCCGTCAGGAATGTGCCATCTGCTGATTGATTCAGCAACAGCATGATGAAGCAATTCCCATACACTGGCATAGGAATAAATTCCTATAAAAATGGACTCCAGAAACTGAGAACTTTGGGATCTGATTCTGCAAACCAACTTCCAGGAGCATCAGATGAGCATCTGACAAGGCCCTGCTCACTCCTCGTGTTCAGGCCACCTGGCCAGTGGCTTGGCACGAGCAACTCTAAGGCTGGTAACTATGATAACAATCTTGCAGAACCTGTGTGTGTGTGTAAGTAAATATGAAATTGAATGGAATGTTATAGCTATAATTAACTGCTTACTATGATTCTTTCTGTATTCACAATAAATGTGGCATTTTGCCTTATTCCCTTTAATAAGATCCTGCTGGTTTTTATTTTATTGGTATAACAAATGTGTTCCATTTCTCAGAGGAGCAGGGAACCAAAGGCTAATTTCTTTTCCATCTTTGGAGTTGTCTGTTTTAAACTGCAGTCCTACTTTAGCTGTCTGAGGTGTTTCCTGGCCATTGACCATGAAAGGGGTTCAACAGGGGAGATTGGGGAGTGCTTGTACAGCTTGCTTCATGTTGGTAAAGTAATGATGAGCCGCTAAAAGGCAGTTTCATTTAAATGGGAGTGGGGATAGATTGGCCTGTGCTATCACCAGATATCTATATTTGCATGGACCAACTAAATTACTCATTCATGGTCCCATTTAAAACGAATGAGCCAAAATTATCCAAAGCACACAGATGAAAACCCAGATAAGAAACAGGCAAATCTATCAGGTGCAGCGAGGACCTTGGGAATAAATTTAGAAATTTATCATCTAAACTAGAGATTGCTGAAAACATTATATTGAAATATGTTTCAAGATAGAGAACTGGCCTTTTCCCTTTAAGGCACTTCCATCTATATCTCTCTCTCTCTCTCTCTCTCTCACACACACACACACACACTTTTCTCCAGAGAGGCTGATAAGTCTCTGACAGAACTATCTGAATAGTGATCCAAAAGTTATTACATCTCTCCTTTTGCAGAGGTTATCTCCTGATCATCTGCTGCCTTTAGAAAAAACAGATTTAGAGGTGTGTGTACGTGCACGTTCGGCTTAATGTGTATTCTGGTTGCATTTTCTCAGGCTCAGTTTGGACAATCACCTTGTTTAGCTGCAGACTGTGGGCAAGTATAAACCCTTTAGGAGCTTCTGCACTTAAGATAAGGGAGCCCTTCAAAACAAAACATTCCAGAAAGACCAAGCAGAGCCTTCTGTGATCTCTAAACTGCTTTACAACCAAAGCAAGGTCATACCATTAAATGGTTTGATTATAAAAAAAATCAGGAGGGAGAGGGATAGCTTTGAGCATTGGCCTTATAAACCAGGGTTGTGAGTTCAATCCTTGAGGGGGCTATTTGGGATCTGGGGGCAAAAATTGGGGATTGGTCCTGCTTTGAGCAGGGGGTTGGACTAGATGACCTCCTGAGGTCCTTTCCAACCCTGATATTTTACGATTCTAAAGATAGGGACCTTCATAAGAGCAGAAAAATCTCTATAGAAAGTAAAATTCTATCATCTAAGCAGCTCCCTCTCATCCCTTTGGACCAACACAGCCCTTGTGTTCAGTGTCTTGCCTTGCCTGTGAAAGTGACATTGTAGCAGTGATGAGCTGAGGAGGACTCTGGAGTCTTCCCACTTCTTTGGTTAATGAAAATCAGCTGTGTCAGAGACAGCTTATATCTGGGCTCCATAAAAATACTTCCCAGTGGTTGGCCTTGATTGCAGCAAGAGGCAGGCTGCCTTTTTTTTTTTTTTTTTTAAATGTCCCTCCCAGAAACCCGACAATGGCTCGACTCTTCCATTAAAATTGTACATCAATAGACTCAGCATATTTTTCAGGAAAAAAACCAAGCACAATTCCAGGAAACATGCTGTTCCAAGTGCCGTTGCTTGCTTCCTTAGTTATGATCATGAAAAAACGTTGGAACACAAACTGAGGATTATCACTGACCAAGGAGAAAATCGGAGCGTTAGGGCTGCTTGTTAAGACATGGGCAGCATGTTACCCATTGCGCTGTCCACTCATCCTCTCTTTCTGAAAGGAAGGAAGGACATTGAGAGAGCACCCAGCAAGCCCTTCCAGCATAAGGCATTCTGTTTTTCTTGGGGGGATGGGGGGGGGGAACAACCTTGTTCTATTGCTGGACTAGTCCAGTGGTGGGGCTCACTTATGGGGATCTTGACTCATTTCCTCTTGCTCCTTTACTTAACAGCCTACTCTTGCTTCTGGTTTGCTCATGTATCTTAACAGCCATCCTTCCAGCTGATTAGAGAGTGGCAACAACAGGGCCCAAAGGGAGTCCAGTGTAGATCCCCCTTGGCCAGAGGCAGGTGGCCACAACATGAGGGTGAGGTGGTGTTAGGTCAGGAGGTGGGAAGTCAGGCATTTGTCAGGGATGCAGAAGATTAACTCAAGGAGCATGCAGAGTGTGTAAGGGTTTTATGCTGCAGTGCCATGAGCCCACATGCCAGCACTTTGCCAAGAGACTAGACTTCGCTATCTGCTGTGTGCCCAAGGCAGGGCACCATCAGCTAGTTTATTTGTACATCAAAAGCTTAAAGTCTGGTCTGTCTAGGACTTTGTTAATTAAAACTCAGATTTGTAAACATCAATCATCAAATATCTTGGCTGAGATTTTCAAAGCCAGCTAGATCTAGACATAAAAACTTTCCCAATAAAGCAAATAGGAGCTGTGTGTCCAAATGCCCCTGGGCCCGATCCAAAGCCGATTGCGGACAATGGGTGTCTTTTCATTGGTTTCAGTGAACTTTGACTCGGATCCCAGTTTTGAAAACCTCAACCTCATTGTCTAAATCAAAGTGATAACGCAATCCAACAAGAGTGCAAGTTTCTCATACTATGCTTCATTACAGCAGTATGCCGGAAAGCACTTTCTTTTTGAACATTTTTAAAAAGAAGCCTCAGAGCTAACATTGCAGTCTTCCCTTACTGAAGATTATTCACACATTCACTATACAGGGAGTTTTGTTTCCTAGCGCTAGTCTATCTAGTTTATCAGATCTGAAGACTACATGAAAATAGGACTGTTTTAAAGTCCAAAGATTTACCAACCCTTTAATCTCCACCTCTTTGCCAGGAGCATACTGCACAGCATCCACACTCATTTTTTGTTCATACAGTAAAATATTCTCTGCTCTCCTGTAACCCACATCAATCTTACCAACAAAGAAATTTGGACCTTACCTTTTTGATTTGATCTTCTTTTAGTTTTGTGAAATAAAAAGCCAATAAATGCACAGCAAACATTTTCTTGAAGCTTATTGGTGTCTCAGTGATGATAGAGCAGCTGTGAATAATTAATTCCAAAGTGGCAGATCTTATTCATGAGCTAAATGTTAAAAATACTTCAACAAAGCCATTTCCCCAGAGTGAGATATTAGAGCTCCTGCGAAATCAAGTCCAGGACTAAATCCATTCAGTTTGTTGGTTCAATGATTAAATTTCAGTGTGTCTCTCTCTCCCCCACCGGCCAGTCCCTCCCTTCCCCTGGTACACACTTTATTGTCTAATAGTAAGCATCTGGCTAGCCGCCAAGGTGAAGGGGGGGGGAATGATGTGTATTGGCCCATTCAGGAATTTTTACCACTTAACAATCTAGTTACTATGCAATGTTCTTTGCTTAACCCAGCACCATCTTGTGCAGCATTTGACAGACTTACACAAGAATGTGACAAACACAAGCTGCTTCAATGAACTTTAAGTTCACTTAGAAAGTTATGTAGAGTTGTTGGAATTCAGGATCTTTCTTTCATCTGGCTAGCATTCCAGTTTTTGAGACAAACCTGTGTTTCTTAATCGGATGTGTCCCAGTTTCTGATTCGCACAGCACATTATTCTCTGGGGCTTGTCTCAGTAAGCACTCACACTCATCCTGGCCAAGCAATACTTGCCCCTAGTTTTACTCCTTACACAATTCCCAACTTGCACACATTATTCTCCCATTGTCTGTGCTGCCTGCAGAGGCGATGTGTGAGAGGTGAGGGAATGTGAGGTCATGTGCCCCCCCATTTCTGCCAGGGCTTATATGTCCTGACCTGAACCCTGCTGCATACCACCAGAACCTTTAAATTGTACCCTCACCCCCCCCAATCAACAGTTATGTGTAGTCTCTGGCTGCTTGTGATGACAAAATTTAAGACTTATGTCCTCAGAACTGCATGTGCAAGGGAAAAATTTGGCCCATTTGGCAGCTGGACAATTTTAATATTAGACTCAGTCTTACTCAGAGACAAATTCAATTATAATTTAAGGTTGCAGCTCTCATTGAGGCACCTATTGACGTCAGGGCTGAATTTAACCGTGTATCTAGCTTTTAATATTTTTTGTCCAATAAATACTAGAAACAAGATGAAAACGGAAAAGCCAACTGTAACACAAACAAGAAGATGAGCATGCTGTAAATAAGAATATTTCTAAACTATACCTTTCACTTCAAAAAAAAATTTTAAACACCTTGCCAGCCTGAGATCATGGTTCATTTCTCCCGGATTCATCTTTTAGTAAGTACTGTCTGACCTAAAAAGACAGAGACAGACAGACAGACAGACACACACAACCGGTCTCTTTACTCATTATGTACTTTTCTCATGTGAGTCACATTCCTGGCTGGCCAATTAAACGGAGAGCATCACCTTTTAAGCTCCATTCCTCTTTGTTCCAGAGCTCATTGTGTGCCTAATACAGATTTAAATTTTCACTTTCTCATTATAAATATAATATAAATAAATATAAATGTCACATGAAAAGGGTCTCAAAGATTTTAATTACCACACAAAGTTTGTTAATCAAGTAGTATTTGTCAGTTTCATTCTGCTAGCAAATTCAATCAATTACAGGTTTTCAGTGCATCCTTGCTTTGGATAAGTAGGAGGATGAGGAAAGAAGGAAAATTATTGTTTCCATTCAATTGATTTTTCAACACACTAACAGCCCTTAAAAATAAGACAAATTGGCTACTCGGGCCACAGTGGTGTAGTGACATTAGTGCAAATGACAACTGAGGCCCAAATGAATATACCAGCTTCAATTACCTGGGTCATGGTTTGCTGTTGTTAATATACATTAAATATAGAAGTGTTTTATCCAGCAAGCCAGGTACAACCCCTCCCTCCCACTTTCAGATCGTAAAGGATCACAGCATGACTTTTCAATCTTTGTTATACTCCCTTCGCAGCTGCATCCTGAGGAATTATGGAGTGTTCTAAGGCAGATGATCATCTCCAATCCAGCATGCAATTACCTTACAGTCAAAGACCATTCAGGTAAGATCCTCATAACCAGTATGGGGAGCTTTTAACAAAGGTGTGCATGCCGAGAAAAAATTCCAACACCTGCCCCTACATCAAGGGAAACAGTTGTTAACACCAGCCTCCCACAGGCAGGGAATGCTGGTGATGGGTCTGCTGCCTGCCAGGCTCTCTTACTCAGAGTGCTAAAGGCTACATGCTCCCTGCTGCGGGGAGCTGATGAAGATTTTAATCACTGGAGATTTTATCACTCGAGCATCTACAGCCTGCTGCCTCTGAGCAGACCCCCTTGGGACAAGGCTTCTGGTGGAAGGAGAAGCCTGGTGCTAGGATAGAAGATAGCCACTTCCTCTTACCCCAAATGTGCAGAGTGAGTTCATCCCAGTGTGTCATCCCTGCACTTAAATGCCTTCCATGAGACTCTCCCTTCAGTGGGATGTCATTTCCCCAAGGAAGCATGGGGAAAGTTTAAACAAGCACTAAGGGTGGGTATTAACTCAGTTTCCCCTGGTGGCAATGCGGATGTAGGCTGTAGCACGGAGAATGTGGATTCCAGTGCTGTCTCACTCTGGAAGAGTATAGGGAGAAGGTGGTAAAATGCCAGGAATAGGTAGTTGAGGTAGGAGCTCAGGCTACTGGAGAGGAAGAGTAGCTGTCGAGTACCTGGGGTGAGGACATGCAGTCTCACAGTAGCATACAGTTTACATTTAAGACTAAAGAAAGCTCTGTACAAATGAAAGCCTAGGTCTCCCCCAGTCATTCAGTATCCATTACAATTATTATTTATTATTTCTACTGCAGTCACAGCCAGTCTCCCCAATCAGGGTGCGAGACACTGCCCATGAACAGAGAGAGACACCCCGCCCTGAAGAACTTACAATCTGAAGCCCCAACTCTACAATCACAACTCTGCATGGGTCTAGGCCTCCAATCATATTGATCTAATTGCAGGATCAGGACCTTCTGTTGAAGACCAATGGATCACTACCATTTCTCATTTGCCCAAATATGCTTTTCCCCAAACTGCTCCTGTGTCCCAAATCTCCCTACAATTTTCAGATAAATCTCATTTGAAGTTTCTAAAATGATTGACAGCTCAGCTATTTTTCAGATGTGGTACCAAAAAAAAAAAAAAATTAAAAAAAACTTTCCAAAAAACATTAAACGCCTCCCCCTTCTGAGTGTCATCTCAACAAAATACCACATATGAATGAGCTCAAATCTGGGCAAAACAAATGTATCCAGTAGCCACAGGACAGGCAAACTTTGATAGAAAAAAGTGACCTTTCTGAACACTTTTTTGAGTTTGGGTGCAGTATTAAGTTTCTTCTGACTTGGTTTTACCAGGAGTGGAAGCTGTTTCTAAGAGCTTAATTTATTTAACTTGTTCAAACTATTTTGACGTTATGCCCCATTCACCCCTCCAGCACATTATTTTCTGACAGAATGAGTTTTATTAGTTTATCTGGTGCATCACTCTCCAAAGCAAATGCTTCACTCTCAGCTTCAGGATTCCAATCTTAGTTGCACATTGGAGTTTAGCGATAACAGATATCAGGAAAGTGAAAAGTCATCACTTGGCTTCACCTCATGTCAAATTCTCTAAAGCTCTCATTTAGATTTCAGTGAGTGGGAAATAACGGTGTATTTCACCTTCACTACCATATTGGATATATGCATGAGTGAGGACAAATTGCACAAAGCTCAGTTTTGTCTAAGGTTCTCTTTAGACATAACCATTAGCAGCACGAGGCTGCAAAATAATAAGATAAAATCTGTACTTAAGACACCTTCAGAGAGACTGAACAAAGAAAACACAAAAGAAGCCCCTGTCCAGCAAGGGGGGGGGGGGGAATCTGTCTTACCCTAACTTCTACACAACCTCCATCTCCTTTGAAAACAGTGTAAGAATGGAAAGGTCAAGTTGGCTTAGGCACAGTGTCTTCAGAAAAAGTTGCTGAAAGTGGCTCTTCCAACTGAAGGTAAGTACTGTGTAAAATGCAATTTACATTTTTATCAGGGAATCAAGCTTTCTTCATTTAAAAAAGGGCCAGTTGAAAAGCGTGTTGAACTTTCACAACAACGTAGGAACACACAGCACAGCTCCATGCACAAAAACTCTAGACACAGGCCATTTGGAAGTGTTTTTGTTTTGTGCAAAGTAGACCCATGTTAAAAATGTGTTCCTAGCGTAGCTTTGCAACATCAGTTTTGATCACACCCTGTGAGGCCAATTGGACAGCAACGTTAATTAGATCTAGTGGCAACTGTGCCATTAGCTCAGAAGAAAAGAAAACTTTCTTTTATGAAAATCAGCCCTCGAAATGCCTGAATAAATTTCAGAGCTCTTACAACAGTTACTATGGAGTCACTATGGGAACAAGCAATGAATTAAGCTGAAGTGCTAATCTCAGCAAAATACCAAAAGAATGTTGTAGAGTTACTTAGCTTTTTTCTCATTAGAGGGGCTGTTGCTCAAACACAAGATTTCAGTTTACGCCTCTAAGTACCCAAATGAAGCCTTTCCTTGCTAAAAATATACATTAAAAAGCAGCTTTGTGAACAATTAATGGATAAACTGGTTATCAAAACATAATGGAAGCAGGGAGTATAGAAGGAATGTGGGTTTTCTGTGTGCCATACCCATGATGGCTGAGATCAGGGAGGGGAGCGTTGACATTATACAACACATTGTTCTGAACTGAAGTTTAAGATTCGGACTGAAGTCTGTAGCCTAAAACTTAAAGCATAGATTTGCAAGTGGTCAGAGAACTCCACAACAGCATACCATTTTAGAAAGTCAGAAATCAGTCAAAAGAAAGTTAAAACTTCCTTTCAAGTTTGCAAAAACTGATGGGAAGAGCTCTAACATCCAAAGGGCCACAACTCCTCTCCACAAAACAAGCACATAGCAGAAGCAGGGTAGCTTCCTTCCCATGGCCATTACAACATGCCCCAGTGCTGAAGGTCACTTCTTTGGACAAAAAAGTCATTTCAGCCTCTAAGCACACTTGATCTCTGGCCTTTCTTCAAATACACCAACAAGAGTGTCACCTTAAAATTATCCAGATCAAACTAATTTAGTTATCAGGGCTAGAATGCCAAGGAACATGTGCAATAGGACTAGAGCATTCCCCTCCCTTTACAAATTGCTTGAAATATCACGTAGTGATTAACTCCATGTTAAAACAAACAAACAAACCTGTCAAAACAGGGTTGGTGGAGAGCTTAGCCAGATAACAAGCTGAAGAAAGGTCAAACTAAACAGCCAACTTTCCAATTTTAAGCTAGCTGGGTAAACGTCTCTTAACGGCGTATCAGATATACCGAGATCATGGATGTCAAAGTGCACTGCACTGTACATTGCACGGTCTCCATTTTTAGTTGATCTGGAATTATGTATTTTACTTCCTCCCCCAACAATTAAGAATTATGAAGGATGATCTTGAAATTAAACAAGAAATAAAATACATCACACACAGAAGAACAGAGTCACTTTGGCGACTTCTACACTTGGGGGTAGGATTCCTAGCTCATGTAGACACACTCACATTAGCTCTCACTGATAGTGTGCCAAAACAGTTGCTGTATTTACAGTATTTAAATACTGTACACAGTAGCACAAGCATTGGCGGCAGGGACTATCGCCCCTGAATAGGTACCCACAGGGCCCCAGCAGGTTTGCAGAGAGGGCAACTCGCAGCAGCCCATGCTACCATGGCTACACTATTATTTTTAGCGCATGAACTCAATGGGAGCTAGCATCGGTATATCTCCATGAGTTAGGAACCACAGCCCTGGCTCCAAGCATAGACATTGCCTTTCTTGAAGGGAATGTAAAAAAGTCAGAGCAACTATACAGACTTTTGATTGTACTCAAAGTGAAGACACAGCATTAAGAAAGCAATTCAGGGAATTTACAGCTAGCACCACAAAACTACCCATTCACAATGTAGTATTTTAACAGGATAACATTTTTGGCTTTGCCTGAATAAGATCATGTCTAGCTTTCCCCCAGGGAAAGAATAATTTTTTTAAATGTTTCAATTTTTTCCCCTAAAAGCCATCAGATAGAAAGAACTTAAAAGGGCTATGACCTTTTCCTCTGTAAGAGAGAAATACTGTAAATTTCCCAGATCTAGGACATTAATAGATAAATGCTTTCCACCTGATTACTTCAGATTTTCAGGGAAGGCAAAGGTTGAAAGGCATGAGATTCTAATCTCATTTCCTGTGAAGTTGTATATTACCATTTATAGCACTTATCTGTTGAACTATGTACAATACAAAGGTGTGGAATGATTAGCTAATTCATTACTAAGGAAATATACCTGACCATTATGGTAAAAACAGTTTAAGTGTGCATTTTGTAAGGAAGTTTTAGGGTCAAACTTTCATGTAGGAAAACACAGTATTTTTTATGCTGAATGTCATGGTTGTGAGAAAGTGCATAACAAGTCAACAAAAGCAGAATTAATAAAATAACCTTTCAGTTTACAAGACTCCATCTCTGAATATTTGCTTCATAAAACTAGCCACAAGAAAAAAAAAATGCAACAGCACCAGTGTAATCCAGAGATGCCAGAAGAGGTTAGTAAAATAGTATTTATTCTGTGAACAAAAATTAAATGGAATTAGGTCATTATTTCACTTCTTCTTTTTTCCTGTCCCTTTTGAACCATTCTGATTATCTCTTTTTTCAGTTGGGAAATTTCCATTGTTATTGTGGTGAACCTGCCACTCCCTTTCTAGTTGTTTCAGCATTTCTTGGGTAAGGAGTCCTTCACGCACTAGTCTGGCAGCAAGAGATCCTTGTCCGTGACTTTTCATATTCGACTGTACTTCAGCAGGTTTATAGCCCAAAGCTTTAGATCGTCTTATTCTCTTCTGTCCTGGGACCTTTGTGGCATTTGAAAATTGATCTTGGTTTGCTGCTGGAAGATCTTCCAAGTTCAACATCCTGTCATTAACTTCAGTTCTCTGAAGAGGAAAGTCATCTGGCACAGCGATAGCACCAGAAACAGAAGTAGCTTCTGAAGCTCTGATAAGCCTTGTAATGTTGCGCACGCCAATTTGTATAATGTTGTCTAGTTCTTTCTGGATGTCCCGTACGAGGCTGGCATCTGGGAACATGTCCATAAATCGGTAACTAAAAGAAAAAAATGTTTTAAATTTGCCAATACAAGAACTGCTGTAGGTCAATGGAGTAAGCAGAGATCAAGTTGCTGTCTTACTATTATGTGGTATATAAGAGACCACCTATCCGCTCCCACCCATATGCCTCTTCTTTGTGTATCATATTACACATTGCCTCATCATCAGAGCAGACCTTGATAGTACAACTGTTGCATCTGCTCAGGTTGTACAATCAGTAGGTTCCACAGAGATCTTTTTAACTGTCTATGTGGCATTCTCCCATCTAGTGCTAAATTTGCACCAACATAAAAACATGGCTTCCATTTGTCCATGAGCTGCAAATATACTAGAAAACCAAAATAAAGCTTAAGTTTCAATACCTTAACCACAGATAGAGGTCAAACACATCATGAACAGCCTCAAGGTGTACAAGATCCTTGATGTTCTTGGGTGGGACCAGTGGCCAGTTACTGTGCCGGCATATCCAGTCAAATGTCAGAGGCTCATTTCTACTAAACTGCCTCGCAAACTGGAAAATAAACAGATTCAACAAGGTCTTGTACAAGTCTGTTAGCAAGAACTGAGTATTTTTACAACATATTAATTCATTAAACCGTTTCAAATGTCCATCCCAAAGCCTCAGAAACAGACTATTAGCATGAGTTACAAGTGCAACAACTTTTTGTTAAACTATACCCTCTGTATAGGTGTTTTTATATTGTAGAGAGGATATAGTGTAATAACGGAAAGTCATAATACTGGCAAATAAAAAAAAAATTATTAACCTGCTCTGTAGTAGTTCTTTGAGATATGTTGTACATGTCCACTGCACTTTAGGGGGTGGGTGGGTGTGTGTAACCCCCACACCTTCTAGGTGTGGTGTTCTGTCCCATCTAATGGCACCGAGACCGCTTAAAGAGAGAGAGTTAAATGAGTCTGCTTTTAGCTTGTGCGGTAGAGGCCCATGCACTAAGCTCCAGAGGTCCCAGGTTCGATCCCGCCCGCCGATGACCAGGCTCTGTCACAGATTTTTCCCTTGGTGGTACCCTTTGGGGTGCCGCATGCACCCTCTGCTGCCTTGTGGTGCTGAGCAATGACAAAAGGGTAGAGCTGCCCCCCAAACCTTCCCAATTCCTTCTTACTGGACAGACTCTGAGATAAAAGGGCAGGAGGGTGGGTCATAGAATGAACATGTGTAACACATTTCAAAGAACACCAGGTTAGTTTTTTCTTAAAGTGATTGCACTTGTCCATTCCACTTCAGGTGACTCTCAACTAATTCAATCTGAAGGTTAAACTCCTGAGGCGTTTAACCATGGAGCATCCAAACTGTAAGATGAAGAGCCTTGGGTTTGGGGTGAAGGAGACCAGGATCCTGGGAAATCAAATCTGGATCTGTTTTTTGTGTCAATGGAGCCCTAGTTGAAAGGGACAGTAGAGTGGAAAAGCAATGCTGGAGATCGCGCCGGTGCAACAAGGGTCACGTGAGCATGATCCTATCTGATTTTTTAACACCACTCTAGGAAAGAGTGGAACCAGAGGGTAAGCATACATGAGGTTGTCTTTCCAAGGCAACAGGAAAGAATCTGTCAGAAACCCTGGACTGTGACCTGTTCTTGAACAAAACTGATGACACTTCCTGTTGTATCAGATTGCAAACAACTCTATGTGGAGAACTCCCCAGACAAAGAGACTACTCTGGTGACTGGTGAAAGATCTGCTCAGCTGATCTGCCAGACTGTTCTGGACACCTTGAAGGTCAGAGAGTTTGATGCGGATCAAGCTGGCAATACAAAACTCCCAAAACAGCATTGCCTCTTGGCGTAGAAGTGTCAAGTTGGTCCTTATGTGTCTGTTCACGTAGAGCATTCCTGCTGTGTTGTCCACAAGAACTAGCAAAATCCTTCCCTTAATGTGGGGAGAATAGCGTGACAAGCTAGATGAATAGCTCTGAACTATCTTAACATTTATATGGAGAGCTAAATCCTGGACAGATCAACCTTGTGTCTGCAGAGTTCCCAGGTGGAGTCCCCAACCTAAAGCAGAAGCATCTGTAACCAGAGTCAAAGTAGGTTGTAGGGAACAAAAGGAACTCCCACACATACATTGGTTGGTCCATCCATCAGTCCAAAGAGTAAGACTTCTTTGAACACTTGAACTAACATGTCCAGTGGATGACAAATTGGGAAGTACACCAAGCTCAGTCAGCCCTGCACCTTCCTGAGAGGAAGTCTAGCATGCCAAACCACGTAAATACAAGAAGCCATGTGTCCCAGAAGCGTGAGACAGTTCCATGCTGCCATGGCAGAATGGGCTTTCAGATCTAAGAAAATGCAAACATTGTCTGGAATCTGCTTTGCAAGAGGAACACCCTGGCTTCTGGAGAATCCAAGACTGCTCCTATAAATTCTATTCTCTGAACAGGTCAAAGGACTGACTTTTCCTCATTTATTAGCACCACCTCACTCTTGGATCAGCCTGTCACCAGCTAGTCATCCAGATATGGAAACACTTGTACTCCTGATTTCCTGTGGAATGCAGCCATCATTGCCATGCCATGCTTTGTAAAGACAGGTGGGGCCAAAGTCAGACCAAATGGCAGGGACTGCAAGCTGATAGTGGGATTGCTTGACCATAAATCTGAGGAATCTCCTGGGGCTTTGATATATTGCCACACTGAAATACACTCTAAGTCAAGGGCAGCGTACCAGTCGCCAAGATCCAGACAGGGGATAATGGAAGCCGAAGTGACCATGTGAAAATTGATTTTCCTTATGTATTTCATCAGCTCTCACAGGTCTAGCATGGACCTGAGACCTCCTTTTTCCTTTGGAATCAGAAAGCAGCATGAATAAAATCCCTTTCCTCTGTGTAAAGGAGGAACTTCCTCTATGACTCCTGACTGGAGGAGAGACTGTACCTCCCAAAGGAGAACTTTCTCTTGAGAGAGGTCCCTGAAAAGGGATGGGGAATGAGGCGGGGAACGAGGTAGAAATAAAGTGAAGGATGGATCCCAATTCTATCTTGTTTAAGATCCACTAGTCTGTAGTGATATAGGTCCAAGCACTTAGGAAGTGGGATAGCCTGTTGGAAAAATAAACGGGGTTTGAGAATATAGCAAAACTCCTTGTACGCTGTGCTTCCCAAGATTGTCAAACTGACTGTTTGGTGTTCCCAGGTTGTCTGGACAAGCTCGCAGTGGATGAGAAAAGAAGAGGTGGTGGTGTTCTCCACCTGTAACTTTTCCCTTTTCTCCTAGTCTGGTGCTGACAAGGCATAAAGAAAGTATAACGGTAGGACTGCTGCGGGGGAAACTGCTGCTTCTTTTGGAAGAGGAGTGTAAATACCCAAAGGCTTCAGCATAGCCCTAGAGCCTTTAAGACTGTGAAACTTGTCATCTCCTTGCTGCGAAGAGAGTGCTGGTCCCTCCTGAGGAAGGCCTGATGACTAGATCCATGAACATTTAATGCATTATTATGATCTAGCAGTAGATGAATTCTAGCAGTAGAATCTGGAGCAGTCTATGCAACCTGAAGCAAGGCCCTGGCTACCTTGTCCACTATTGCAAAAAACTCTTGTCCAGCCAGCTCTGGCAACTTGTCTATAAATTTTAAATATATGTCTCAGAGGGAGAAAACCAATGCCCCAGCAATATTCATTGATTAGAAATCCGGAGTTGCAGGCCAGCTGTAGAATAAACTTCTCTCCTAAAAAGAGTTTCTTCACATCCTTTGATTTTGAGGTAGACTCCTACTGACCCTGGCGCGAGGGAGACGCAATACCTCCATTCAGTCCTTTTAGCAGTGGGAGACAGGGAATATAGTGTTTGTCACGCTATTTTTGTGGGCTCCAAAATAGTCTCATTTATGAGAAATGCCACTTGACAAGACCCCACAGATCCCAAAATATCAGCCAGCCAATCTATGTGAGCTCTACTTCCACCTGTATGTCTGTGGTGGAAGCCATCCTCTCGAGGATGTCCTGATGTAATTGTCAGGAGGAGATGAGGAAACACTGACCACTGCTGCCTCAGCTGGTGGTGATGAGGAAGAACCTAAGGCTGGCTGAGGTGTTACTTCCTGAAATTTCTCTAAAGGGAGATTAACTGGGGCAGATTGCTCATGTTTGGGAGCTCATTACTGGGAGAGACTTCTTGCAGTTCTTGATGTGAAGCTTCATAATGCTTACTGGAGGATGTAGAGGAGGGTGAGCGAGGAGAGGATCTGGAGGTAGGCAGAAACCGCCACAGGTTTCAATATGGCGGTTGATATGGCACCAGAGCCCAATTTTTCCCCTGCCAAGGCTCCCTACCGAACAACCAATGTGGAGCATCTGCTGGACACCAGAGATGAAAACCCCTTGGAGAAGAGTGATGGCTTATGTAATGCAGTTGACACACAAGATCCAACTTCCAATTCAGAGAATGAACCCGTGCAGTTCGAGCAGGAAGGTGCAGTACCTCTTGGTGCCAGGGAGCAGTGCCCGGAGACTGAAAAGGATGGCACCAGAGAAATCATAGCCTGTTTACCCTTTAACAGCACTGTACGAGGTGGTACCAGAGCGTCAAGAGGTGCCTGTGGTATCAGGTGCTAAACTCTAGAGGCGGGCAAGTGCTCCTTGGAGACTGCCAGTACTGGGGGAAGTGTCAATTGAACCTCCAGCAAAGCCAGCACTGACGGACTTAGCAGATTGCATGCCGCAGCATATGCCTCAGGTGCTGATGGCATCAGGAGAGTCTTTTGCTGCTGCTGAGCCAAAGAGAATGGCACCACAGGATGGTGCTTCCGTAGATGTTGATCTCAATTTCACCGGTACCAGTGCCGAGTCAACGACCATGCCTGAGCCTCCATATGCACCGGACAGCACCTCGGCACTGAGCATGCTCTATCTTGCTTCACAGCTTGACTGCTGAACATCAGTGCCAGGGATCTCCTCAATGACATTTGGCAGTGTTTCTTCTTTAGTATCAGAGAAGTAGATCAGCATCGACACTCTGTCATGATAGGAGGAGCACTCCCAACCAAAGTAAAGATGCTCAGATCTCACTTCAAGTGGGAAGTTTCCAAGGGTGGGGAGAAGGCTGCCTCCACAAAATGCTTTAGTCTGACCTCCCCGTCTGTTTTAGTTCTGGGCTTAAAGTCCCTAAAGATTTGGCACCTGCCACTGACGTGAGCTTCTCCGAAGCACTTTAGGCACATGGAAGTGCAGGTCACTGACCAGCCTCGGCTTTTTGCATTCATGGCAAGGTCTGAAGCCCGGGGACCAAGACCTACCCCAGCACCAGGTATCTGTATGCAGAACCAGTGGGAACTGAAGCATAAACCAAGCATGCTAGTAAAAGGAAAAAAAGAGAACTACCACTAGAATACTACACTAAGAATAACAAGTACTAGCTATATACAATCGAAAACATTTAGAAAGAGGAAACACTTGCAGTAACAAGGCAGCATGCTCCGACAGCCATCACAGATAGAAGAAGGAACTTACGGGGGCTGGGGCAGCTCTGCCCTTTATATCATCGCACAGGAGCATGAGGAAGAAAAGGGCACATAAGCTGCCCTGACAGGTAGCGCTGAGGGAAAAATCTCTGACACTAGTGCATTGGGTGTTCACACACCCAAAGTGGAATGGACAGGTGCAATTCCTCGAAGAACTAACGTTCCGTCTATGACAGAGTACCATGTCGAATGAAGTCTGACTAGCCAGGTAATACTGCTTTTGTGATCTCAGTCTATTCATTGAGTTAAGAACAAGCATCTGTTATTAGAGACTAAGGAACAGAAGTATCAGAACAACTAAGTGTGAGGGTTTCACAGCTATTGTATTTTAATAAGTGATCTAAAGTTTGTATGCACATATTTCAAACGTTTTACTTTATGCAGCTCAGAATTTTCTTCAACTACCGCACATTTTTTACATAACTATTCAACCCAAGAGCCATCTCTCCCCTCCTGTGCCTCATTAAAACAATTTGTTAAGGGCCATGCACACAACTAAGTAGTATGGGGCTATCCAGAAAATGAGAGCAGACTTTTATGGCTTGATGATCTCCTCCCTAGCATGGTCAGCTGGGCTTTGCCCATTGTCTTTGATCTATCAGCAGCCAGCTCGTTTTGTTGAATCCTAACGATGCTTCTCTTATTTCAGATTATTTTTTCTAGGTTGAGGAAGTGATGTTGGATACCCATTCCCTGATGTAACAAGGACACTATTGTCAGCTTTAAATTAAAAAAAAAAAAAAGATTTTTGTTGTTTTTTTAAATAGAAATTAACCATGGACACTTGGGAATCTTAGCTGTTTTGCTAGCAGACAATTCAATCACAAAAGTTATGGCCTAAATTTTCAAAAGTGATTAGTGATTTTAGGTGCCCAATTTCAGACATTGGGCAGGAGTCTGATTTTCAGAGGGGGAGAGCTGAAGATCTGGCCCTTTTTAGTAGCTTAAATGAGGCACTCAGAATTTGAGAAAAGTAAAATCACTAGCCATTTTGTAAAATACAGATCTGTATTTTCACACAAATAAGAGACTTCTCATTGCACTGATATGCAGCAAAAATGTTTTTGTTTACTTCTATTTTATTCACAGATGGATGCTGAGAAAAATGAGTAACTAATAATGGCACCAACTGGTTGTAGGCAAGCTACTGCTAGAAGGTGCTGTGCAAGGCTTAATGCCACATAACTCTGAATATGTACATCATTCCTGACCTCTGCTAGTTAAGAAATTCCCAGGGGGCAAGTTATGGGATTTGGGGATGTGAATAAAGGGAAAGTTTAGACAACTTTTTTTTTTTAATTTACATCCTAAAGTGGAAGCTGGGTTTCAAACGTGAAAAGAATGTATTTGCAAAACTTTATCTGAACAGTTAATAGAAGTTGTATTCTTTACAAATTCAACAGCTAGTTTGTATTTCTACTTCCACGTGAGCTTTTTAAAATGCACTTGGAAACTGCCAATTTGGAAACTGCACACATATTTGCTTAAGACTGATCTAGTCAATTATAAATACTGTACATTTGAAGAACTTACCTTTAGCAAAGAGGTGCAGACAAAAGGCTGTTTTTTGTTGATGGGTGCTGTGCAGAACACATACCTTACCCTTAAATTTAGCGGAATGTGCTGAATCATATCTGCTAGAAATTTAAAGTCATCAACATTGCAGACAAAATAGAGCCCATCCACCTGTGAGAGGCTCACAAAGATATCCTGTTCAGAAAAAGTTAAAATGCTGTTAATAGTTGAAGTTCAGCTTAAGATTATCACAAATGATGGTTGCCAACTTTCATACTGACATGCTAAAAAACAAATCATTTTTGTATAGGTTGTGTTTGTTCTCTCCCTACATGATTTCCTTTAAAAATTACATCTGTAATGCAGATTCCGTAGCAGTACAGAGGGTATGTGACAAAAAAGTAAAACAACTTCTTAAATATATAATATAGTGGGGTAGGAGCATACATAATAAGCCACATAGTATGATCTCATGAAGTCAGTTATTTCTACATTAAAATGTTGTAAATTTGTGTCACCAGCATAACACAAGGTAGATTTCTTTTTATTTCAGTAGATAATTCAACCATTAAATTATTATAAAGTTGGCTTTAGGATTTTTGAGATTGCAGGAAAAAGTAGTGAGAAAACAGATAAACTAAAATGGTGCAGTAGTTGAGATCGAAGAGTATAAAGACAAACAGCTATTCCTCCCCACTTGTGCTTGAAACAAACAAACAAAACGTCTAATCTTGAATATAAGTGTCCACAGCATTAGTTCTTACCGGTATGGACATTATCAGTAAAGATACATTTAATCACAGATCTGTGTGCTTGGCTGGATATGTATCATACAGCAAAATTTTAAATAGACTTTGAAAGGAAAAAAATAGTTAAAAGATTATTTGTATACTTGGATACTAGCTTTGAGGTTTTAGAAAGCAGAAGCTTAAACACTTGCTGCTATTCTATCAGCATGAGTTTTACATGAGGCCTCCATTTGGACAGCACGAAACTCTCTTTTTCATAATAGGTTAACTTTGTACATTTTGGTTAGCTAACTTAGTATTCGCTGTTAATAACTTTAGTGGACTCTCAAGACACTCAGGAAATCTGTGTGAACGGTTGTAAAATTCTGGTAATCTATTTAGAAGATTAAATCTCCATGGTCCTTTTTTTGTTTGGTTGTTTTAAAACACAGGATTAAAAGTTTATTCCTAAATAAACTTCTATAAGCACTACAGTGAATTCACTAGTAAGATGGAACAAATCCAAAAAAGCAAGTAATGATGGGATTGAGTGGCTGCTACAGAATCCAGATGTCCAAACTTTAGTGAAGACACTGCCTCAGACAGTACACAAGATCAGAAGAAGAAAAATCTAAAAAGTGACATAAAAAAAGCAAAATTCTAGACGACTAGCTTAGTTTTGAACAATTTCACAAGAAGCAGTTTCCAAAACTATTATTTTTGCTTCAATATCTGAGTGCATGTCTCCAACTTCAGACCAAAAAATATACTTTCAAAATACCAAAACAAGTGAACAGCAGTGGCTGCAGCAACAAATGCTCTTAAAAACAAAACAAGATTACCTGGAGACTTCCAGGTCATTAGTGACACAAAAGGTTACAATGAGCATTCTGAGTGCATCAGTTGTCACTATACTGGTAACCCAAAATGTCTAATTGCTTAATAAAAAACCCACAAAGCAGCATCTTGGCTTTTTAATTACATTGCATTGCAGTAAAGTAGTAATTATAAGGTAACATTTATGTGATTTTAAAAATGAAAGCTCATGTTTCTATAGATTTAATCATTCTTACCATTAGATTTGATAGAGTAGCATCAGGGAGATGGTATGCAAACATTTCTATCTGCTCAGCAGTAGGATGCAGGCCAGCTGTCTAAAGAAAAAGAAGAACTAATGAACATTGCTTTTTAACAAAGAAAACCTTTGAAAATAACTGTATCTGAAAAGCAACATCCAGCAGAATAACATGCAAGAAATCACCGTTTTCTGCAGTTTCCACAGTATGCATCCAATGAAGTGAGCTGTAGCTCACGAAAGCTTATGCTCAAATAAATTGGTTAGTCTCTAAGGTGCCACAAGTACTCCTTTTCTTTTTGCGAATACAGACTAACACGGCTGTTACTCTGAAACCTGTCAAGAAATCACTGTACCCCATGGAATCCACCACAATGAACAACCATCCTGAACTTTTAAGAACCAAAATGAAAACAAAGCTCAAGAAGAGAAAGTCTAGAAGAGCAGCTGCAGTACGTGAGTGAGAGACTTCACGAGTTTTACGAAACCTGCAAATGCCCCACGTATTCAGAATGATGGCACTGTACAATTCAATTTTCTTACTCAGATTCAACAGTGTACAGTGAAGAATACTGGATCACAAAATACCAAGGCAGCTCCAGCACACTCTGGTGAGATCAGAACATTTAAAACTCTTACCTCTATAGGAGGCACAGACCTATTCAAAATTTCTTTCAGCAGTACGAGGTCATCACGATACATTGCAGTGACTTCCCCTTCCTTGAACACAGAGCTAAATCTTCCAGCTCTGCCTGAAATCTGTAGAGCCTGAGACGTTGTAATTGCATCCATTTCCTTCTCTCCCTTTTCATTGATACTTGGCTTTATTAGAGAATTAAAAATGATTCTCTTTATACTCCTGAAACATTTAAACAAAGACAGACAAAAAATCATGGACTACTTTCTCTTAGAGAGAAAAAGTAGGTGAGGTAATATCTTTTATTGGACCAGCTTCTGGGGGTGAAAGAGTTGGTCCACTTCACCCATCTTGTGTCTCTAATACCCTGGTGCTGACACAGCTACAACTACACTGCATTCTTTCTCTTCAGTCATGCAAGTTATTTCCATAGAGCTAACTGCTGCAGAGGAAGGAGTTCCTTTTTCCTATCAAGGTCCCTTCTCTTCACAAAGCAGGTAGGTCTTCAGACTATAGATGTTATTTTAATATGGATTTACTGTTCAAAGTTGCCAGACTGAAGACATTGGAAACAGAAGGCCTTTCTTTAGGCTTATCAGTCCTGTTTAAGAAGGAATACCCAGAGTAATTAGATATCCACTGATTCAGTCCTTTGCAATCTCAGCAGAGTCCAATGGTGACCACGTCACAAAAAGATATGGCAACATCTGGGACCTGACTAAGACCACTAAGATTTCTCATCAGAGAGCAAGAACCTAATCCTGTGTGGAGCTGAGCATTCTCAAATGCCACTGAATTGAAGATGCTCAGTGCCACAAAGGATGTAGTCTAAATGAGCAGTTTAACTGTTGCGATCATTTTCAGTATCTAGAAAGTATAGCTCTTCCCAGTCAGGTCAGCCACCACTTAATTCCAGTGAGGACACATATACACACACATACTGGGTACTGTACATAAAGGGTTTTTATCCACGTTAAGCAAACTGTGAAAGACTGAGGAAAACCAGCACACTTGTCTCACTGAAAAATAAGCCTTAGCCTTTTCAGAGTACTTACAAATTAAGCCCCATTCCAATGGCATCTGTAGCAACTAGAATTTTACATGGATCATCAGGGTCATTGAATTTCTTTGCCTGGGTAAGCTTTGTCCCTAGAACAGAATCAATCGTAAGTACATTTTCTGTAACAGACTTTACCCACCAAAAGTTGTTATACAAAAAAGATTGCGTGCTCTTACATGTCACTGAACAAAAGCATAACAGTTGAAGAAACAGGAATGTTAATTTTTGCAAGTGTTCCCAGAAAGATGGATGGGTGTCATTTTAAATAAATCAAAATAAAATAAAAGTTACTGTTGGAGGAACAAAAGTAAGATTACACAGCTGATAAAGATTTAACTCCAACATTACAATACAAGACAAAGAAAATTTGCTCAGTGTTGTCTTAATTCAATATCTAGATACAGAACTTGAAAAATGTAAAGTCTCTTGATTAAATACTTTTCATATGGTAGCAGCAATAAACAGAGCCTTCTCTTTAAAAGAGAGATAAAGCTAGTATCTTACCAGGTGGGAGACTGCCATATATGACAGCACATTCTAATCCTCGGGCTTCAATCTGCCGACTCACAGAATAAATATCGTTCTTATTGAAACAGACAATGCAGTCACCAGGACGGAGGTTATCTAAAGATTCTAGTGCATAATCCAGCACGGTAATAGGGGTAAGCCTCTTGTAGTTTCTGACCTAGGATTAAACAGCAGTTTTGTCAAGGCAAAACACAAAAATCCTTTGCAAAATTTATAATTACTATGAAAATTTAACTTCATATGACAAGTCAATCAAAGCTTTAAGATTATACTGTGCCTCACAATCCCAACGAGAGAAGTACTAGGAGAAAATGTGTCATCCCCTTCTGCCTTCCAAACAATAATGAACATTCTTACGAGCATATCCAAACTGACCTTTTCAGGAGACAGAAAAGGAACCACTTCTATTTCTAAATTCGATTCCACTGCAGACATATACAAATGTAAGTAAAACTATATTAATACTAGGGAGAAAACACTGTGCTCTCCAATATGGGAGTCCTGCAGGCAGAATGCTTTCAGAATCAGGACCTACATTTGTAAAATGTCCCTTGCAGATGAGCACATGTCTGTAGCTAACCTGAGTTCTGTTTTTCTTTGTATAGCTTTTTTCCTTGGCATATGTTAACCCTTTTAGCATTTTAAAAACTCTTCCACTGATTTTAGATTTTTTAAGAACTAACTAATAATAAAGTGACCTGAGCAAAAAGGTGGGCATCATGACCTCTAGGAAAAATGGACATGTAAAGGAGGCCTCAGCATAGATCTAGCACTCCCTCTGGATAAGTCAGTAGAAATTTTAAGATCCATTGTTCTCTTGGTAAGGGCAATAATATTTTTGCTAAAAAAGGTTGATTTTGCAACATCTTTAAGAAACCCCCTTTTGATTCAGTAGGCTTACATAGCCAACATGTCAAACACAAGCTCTGACTCCTGTAGATTTGATCAGTATTTTCTCAAATGAGGGATATAGTAGACACCTGCAATATTTAGATAGTAAAGTGTAAACAACTTTATAGCCACTGGACAGGGGAGAAAAAGGAGACAGTATAAGATCTACCTCCACTTCCTCTCCTGTAGAATACATGAGCTCTGTCACCAAGTCAATAGCAGCAGCTTCTCCACAAATGTGAACTTCTTCTGCACTGAGTCCTGAAAAAAAATGCAGTGAGATAAAGTGTTAAAATATACATGTTCACACAAACCAGCAATACTGAGAGCTGACAGAGGTGGTTACAACAACAACAAAAAAAAAAATCCTGCCTACTGAAGATGTCAATAAAGGATGGGATTTCTTTACTTGTTCATTTTTCCTTCCTACATATTTATAGTCACTATAGCTTTTGCTTGTGCCTTTGCCTAAACCACCACTATATACACTGCTAAGTTTCAATGGAGCAATTCTTGACCTTACCAACTATTATATAATGTCAAATCATCCATCTGATAACTATCTTAAAAGTTAATATTCTGCTTACACCCTCTTGGTGCCTTGCCATCATCTTCGTATTTGCCCAACGTGGGAACACATATCTAAGATTTGACTGCTTCATTTGTAAAAAGAAAAATGAAACTAACTCTTCTACTCTAACTTCTCAAAATTTCCTCAAATATGGAAAAGTTACAGTTTCCTTTTTACACTCTAACTCTAAATTGGGGAGGGGGGAGAAGGGAGAGGAATGTTTTGTTTTTTTAATCATTTTGCTAAATTCAGTGGTGAAAGAAAGGGGAGAGAAAAACCCCAAAAACTGAGATTTCCAGTTTTTGAAGACAAAAAAAAATTCAAACGTTCCAACTGAAAAAAATATAAAATTGAAAACACTTGCCTGCAAGAAATTTGGTTTATAATTAAACCCACTTTTTTTTTTTTTTGGGGGGGGGGGGGGGAATAATCAGCCAAGTCTAAAATTAAAAAGATTATAGAAATGTGTATTATTTGCCAAGTTAGCACACATTTAACACTAAATTTAAATTATAATTCTGATGGATTACCTATAATTACAATGTTTCAACCTACAAAAGTATAATAAGTAGGTTATATGATAAAATGATGCTTCTCTACTAATCAAGCAGGTAAACAAATAACAAATGCATTCAACATAATTAGTGGTAAGTTTAACACACTTGGTTATTAAATGTAAAATGGCTCAGTTTCAACATTGATGAGTATACCTAAAAGTGCTCTGGTCCAGGCCCATCCTCTAGCCGGATCTTTGATCATCTGAATTTCATCAATGACAGCCACTTCATCTTAAAAACAAGAAAATTAAGATACTAGGTGAAGAGCAGCACCTAGATGGCACGACTACATATGAAGGAACATTTCCAAGAAGCACAATACAAAATAACTGAAGTTATTTACTACAAGAATTATTCAAATTCAATCTCTTCTGCATTCCAAGATTGCTCCGAGAGTATCCAGATTTAATAACTCTCAGATGACAGTGCTTAGCAGAGGTCAGAAATTGATAAATTAAAAATAAGAATACATACAGCACTTGCAAGACTAGAATGAATTGCTTAAGTTTAACCTCTTACAGGGTGTAAGATAAATATGAAATTAAAGAATTAGAGTTAGCTTATGTTTGGTTAAGAAAATGTGTGTGTACTGTAAAGAAACACCCTGCCTAGCAAGTAGAAGGAAGGCCTTGAAAATAATAAGCGGTAAGGCCAGAAGGAATAAAGTAGGGAAGATGTCTGTTTAAAGAATAACTAATGAGATAACAGGACATTTCTAAAAAGAATGCCTCTGACCAACAGGGGTGACTGCAGGTGGTTTTAAATAAAACACAGACAAACTGTCTTTAAATGAGCCAACACGACCCTTCGCCAACCCACAAACCAGTGTTTAAAGACTGTGTGAACTCAGGTGCAACGGGAAAATTGTTGGACAGCAAGGAGGGGAGGAAAGGCCTTGAGAAGTAAGGAGGTTGTAAATCTTATCTGGATTAAGACTGGAAATAAGGGTGAATTGTCTCAAATTGCTTTTTACCTGAAGTCAATAATTGGCAAAGACATCACTTACTTATTAAAGGATATAAAAGGTAAACTCTTAAAGGGTTCATTGCTAATACCTGCCTGACCACACTGGAACTGATGTATTTTGGTCTAAGCACCCCTGGATTTAACAGCCTGTTTGTAAGTATCTTGATCAAATTCTTATAAACGTTTTGTTACTTTTTGGATGTAGTAAATTGGCTAAAAAGCCTAACTAATAAGCATGTTTAGAGCAATTGTATAAGTTTGGCCTTTGGATTTAATAAAGGAATTTATGGTAAATTAGTGTTTCATAGTTTTCCATATTAATAATTTCAAATATTATTAATAATTTCAACACAGGGGTGTAAGCATCATTGCATAAAAAAAACCGCATGTATATGAAGAAAATAACCATGTATACATACAAGGCGTAGTAACACTGCACATCTCAATAGTGCAAGCAACATGGGTTGCTTGTCTGCCTTCTGGATCAACAAGAACACGCTCTTCTCCTGTTACCAAGTCACATGGCACACTCTAAAAGAATTAAGAAAGTTGAAGTTAAATTACTCTCTTAAAAACAGAATTAGAATATTTCCCAAAGGGGAAAAAAAAATTGGAAATTGGAACAGAATATACCCCTGTATTTACACCCTACAAACTAATGTAATAATCTTTGCAAAGGGCATATCTTGTAAGGTAGCATTTGAAAACCTCAGTCTGGGCCACAGATCTGTCCTAGACAAAGGAATGCATGCTCTGCTTAATTTACATTGAAGCAGTAAACAGAGTCAAAGCAGGAAGGGAAACAAAGAAAGCTCAAACAGGTGAGAAAAATCCAACAGGGAACATCCTTTCACATAGATTCTTTGCCTCCTCATGCCCAGCTGGAAACGTTTTTCAAGAGAGGGACTGAAACCGTAAAAATAAGGGACAAATGCCCTAAAGCACCACCCCCTCTCTCCCTGCCCATTGCATTCACAGCACCTCACACAATAAAGAAAGCATTCGTTGGACTCTAGGGTGGGATCCTGATCTACAGGGTTTGGTCAGTAACACTGCTGAAACCACGTGGTGAGAAACTTAAACTATATCAGATTGAAGTGAAGTTTGGTAAATATCTTACCTATATTTTTCCTGTAACCATTTCTGACTTTTATGCCTCATTACTTATACTCACTTAAAATCGTTTTGTAGTTAATAAACTTGTTTTACTGTTATCTAATCCAGTGTGTTTAATTTAAAGTGTCTGAATACTATTTGAGATAATAAGATGGCACATTGTTCCTTTTAAAGAATAACAGATTTAAAATACTTTGTACTGTCCAGGAGAGGGCTGAGCAGTACTGGACACACATTTCTGGGGGGAAATCTGGGATTGGAGGCATGTTGGGGTCACCATGCGTATGACCAAGGCTGGTGAAAGCCAGAGCGTAATCCAAGTGTGGCTGGCTGGTTGCACTTACACGGTGACATGCAGTGTGGTTTGCATGCTGGACAACTGCGAGCGGCCCAGGTGGGAGCTACTTCTGCAAGGCTTTATAAGTTAACAAAGGTTGTCTGGCAGGGGTGACAGACCTTTGTTCATATCTGAATTGTTCGCTGGTATGTCACAGAAATAAACCCAAGTATACTACATTCCTACATATGTGGTCAGATAGAGCCCAATTTTGTTGACCTTCTAGACATGGAGGGGAGGAAGTTGAGGATACAATTTCTCTCTGATGGGTGATTTTAAATTGTATCGATCATTGTCTATTGATTAAATGAGATGTGGTAGGACAAGGGAGCGGTGTAACGTGTCTTTCGGCTCAATTTTGTTGCAGTTCCTATGGTGCTGTGTTTTTAAAAGTCATCCAAAGTTTTGGTCACTTTGATTAAGTGCCTTTTGGTATAGTTTCCTCTAAAACAAAATCTAAATAAAATAAGTTATCTTTCTCCCTCCGACCCACCCTTGTGATCTAGTGGATTACCATCTCTGGTTTGATTTCTTTTAGAGTAGGGATAGATTTATCCTTGAGATATCCCTGCCAAAAGTAATTTACAGAAGATAGACAATGGAGTACAGTAAATATTTTGTTCTATGTTCAATTACATTCTAATATGTGGAAGGCAACATTTAGAGACTACTAATTTCTGTAATCAGAAGCTCTTCCCCTGAACCCATTCCCCAGTTCCTGCAATGTAGTATCATTATGCTTTAACTTTGTATTTCTCCAGCCCCAGGAAGTATATGCTTTAATCATATTAGCAACAACATACAATATGCTGAGCACAAAGAATCCTCAATAGATTAAAGAAATTTTTCATGACAACTCCACTAACAAGGGGTGCACATGCACACATTCCTACATACATACACAATATATGGTTTCAGATTACTTATTCAAAGGCAGATGTTTGGTCCTAGGGATTAGAATTTCGTATTAATGTAAAATATATTAGAAATTAAAATGGTGAGAATTACAAAATCACTACTGTTAAAGAATTAACCAAAACTCAGCATGTTTTACTGACAGATCACTACTACAGATTTATATGTAATTACTATATAAATATTGGTGATTTTAATACTTAGTCTTTTAAATTAATACTTTGTAATACCATTTCTATTTGCCTCTCTGCAACTTCTATGCAGCTGGAAACAGACTAGAGAAAAAGACCTACACAGATTTTGAAGGCAATCAGCGGGGCTAATGAAATCTTATTCAAGCCACCTAAAGCAACACCATAGCAATGCCCTTTAAATCAAAGCATTTGCTGCAAGTGGGTAAAACATTTTATTCAATGCCCACTAGTACTAATATAAACATTAAAACAGGAAGAGAGAAGTTAGTATACGCCAGGGTAGCTACTTTGAATAGAAATGAAACTAGCTTAGCAAGATGTTGTACAACAGGAATAAATAATTCTATATTATGTATTGACTAGAGAACAATGCCCTCCCCTATTGATGTTCTGAGATGGATAAAACTCCACACCAAAAAGAAAGGAAATTCTATAGACATGGTGTCCCTTGACACAAGTACTTCCTTGAAAATACATGCAACAAGCTCCTGGGACTGGTCCACCAATCTGGAGGGCTTTTAGCAGGGAGATGGACATAATGTGGCAGCTGGAAGGCAAGAAATGAACTTGCTACTACTTTTGGTTTTCATGGTTTAAAAACACTTCTCCAATTAAATCTAACACCTCTTTACATAGTGACCCAAGAAAGTGATTTATATAAATCAACTTTTCTTTCATGTTTCTATTTCTGTAATTTGCTAATGAAAAAAATTATTTTATTTAACGTAACCTGAATTAAGTGTTTTTTTCTGATATGTCAATCGGTGATCATCCCAACCTAACACTGCCCTTGTTTTCCCAAGGTCACAGTCCATGGACAGCTGCCTTAATGCAAGGTCAAGGGGAACAGAGGCAGTCATCTCCACTCCCCAGACAGTCCTACAAGAAAGCTAGCAAAAGCCAATGTAAGCACAGGGGTGAACCAGTGACTGAAGGGCAATAGACTGCTACATGCATGAAGTTCTTTGGACACCATTTCTTCTCTTTCTGTGCATCACTAGTATTAATGCACACTGACAGTATCATAATTCAAGACTACATTTTAGCAGAGATTATTTCAAAGACTACCCTAAAAACTTACATTTATTAAAAGAAAATATTTTGTATTATGACATGAATGCATGTACAGTTGAAGAGAAATTGCTTAAGTAACATACTGACAGCATCATTACTCTTTTGGAAGATCTCATGGGCCAGCAGTTTTAATGGACCACAGTATATTCCTGATTTTGCTGCCAAGTATCTTTGGATAGCATGATGAGTTTTTCCACTATTTGTAGGGCCAGCATGAAAGACTATCTTCCTCTGAATAGCCCTGGCTTCTGGATACCTAAAACACAAAACAAAGACAAAAATAATTATAATCTATCATCCAGATACAGATTTGGGTGAAATCCCAAGTGAATTTGTGCTATTTGCCCATTTATTTTAAATTGTCATTTAATAAAACAAAAGACTGGGAGGAGATAGTTCTTAAACTCAATCAAGTACAAAGAGGTTTCAATATAATCCCCAAATATTAGTCGACCTCTTGACCATTTCAGAAAGTTTAGTCAAATATGTGAATACCGTTGTCAACAAATAATATTCTTACTATTATTGTCTTACTACTGCATTCTTTTTATTTACTTTTTAGAGTTTTGACTTACTGTCTATTGAATAGAATATGAGTAAAAGACAGCTTTGTGTAGAGGTAGTTTCTATCAACAAGCTAAAATTGTTTAACAGGGGAGGAGAAAGAAAGAATGTCGGATAATGGAACAGCAATCTCATAACTGAAGCCCTCTCATTTTAATTGTAATTCTTTGGCAAAGAACACCGATAGCAACAGACATCACATCAAATAAGTCTGCCTACTGGCACAAGAGGATTGTAAAAGTGATCTGATAGCCACGGTTGAACTTTTATGTCATAAAGCCCAGGTCCAAAGCATCTGCAAAACTGGTTATTCTTAGAAAAAATAGCCAATACCTGACTCTCCAGCAAATGTGTCATTTCATTAATCACCTGGATAATGGAGCAGAGAGTGTGCTTATAAAACTCGCAAATGACACCAAGCTTGAAGGGGTTGCAAGCACTTTGGAGAATGGGATTAGAATTCAAAACAAACTTGACTAATTAGAGAACTGGCCTGAATTCAACAAGAGGAAATTCAATAAAGACAAGGGCAAAGTACTTCACTTAGGAAGGAAAATCAAATGCACAACTACAAAATAGGGAATGACTGGCTAGGTCAGTGGCTCTCAAACTTTTTTACTGGTGACCCCTTTCACATAGCAAGCCTCTGAGTGCAACCCCCCTTATAAATTAAAAACATTTTTTTATATATTTAACATCATTATAAATGCTGGAGGCAAAGCGGGGTTTGGGGTGGATGTTGACAGCTCGCCACCCCCCAAGTAATAATCTCGCAACCCGCTGAGGGGTCCTGACCCCCAGTTTGAGAACCCCTGGGCTAGGTGGTAATACGGCTGAAAAGGATCTGGGAGTTATAGCAAATCACAAATTGATTAAAAGTAAAAAACGCAGTGCTGCTGCGAAAAAGGCGAATATCATTCCGCGGTGTATTAACGGGAGTGTTGTATGTAAGACACAGGAAGTAACTGTTCCACTCTACTCGGCGCTGCTGCCCCATTCTGGGCACCACACTTTAGCAAAGATGTGGACAAGTTGGGGAGAGTCAAGAAGAGAGCAAAAAAAATATAATAAAAAGGTTTGGAAAACTGGATATATGAGGAAACATTTAAAAAACCGGGCACGGGGGGGAACAGTTTTCAAATATGTTCAGGGCTGCTATAAAGAGCATGGTGATCAATTGTTCTCCACAGCTACTGAAGACAGGACAAGAAGTAATGTGTTTAAGCTGCAGCAAGGAGATTTAGGTTAGGTATTAGTAAAAATTTTCTAACTATAAACGATAGTTAAACTCAGGAATAGTCTTCCAAGGAAGGTTGTGGAATCCCTATCATTGGAAGTTTCTAAGAAAAGGTTCAGCAAATACCTGTCAGGGACAGTCTAGGCTTATTTGATTCTGCCACAGTGCAGGAGGCTGCACTGGAGTTTTCAAGGTCCCTTTGGGCCTTGTACTTCTATGATTCTATGTCACTATGACCCTTGATTTCAAGGTTCTGCACGTTTTTCTGAAATCATTACCCACCAAAGATTGGACAACCACAGGCATGAGCCTGAGCTCCATCTTAGGTTTAGATATTACATAACAAAGCGTTAACTACTAAACCGTACTGGACTAATCAAAACCTGTTACTCTTAGCTATACATTATTTCCAATTTGTATTGATACTAGTAGCCAGGTACGCACAGTATCAATTCTGATAACTAGCTATAACAACATCTTCCAGACAATGAAATTAGTATAGTCTTTAGCATGAAAACTGCTGTCACTGACAGCAATAATATGAAAGTCTGACACTTAAAAACACTAACCAGTTGGGTGGCAATCTTAAGTCACTGATCTTGCGCAGATCATCCATACAGTCCAGCATAGGAAAGATCTGCTTAGCATGTCTCAGAAAAAACGGGAAGAGATCATCAACGTGACCTGGAAGACAAACACTTTTAACAAAGTTTGCTACTTCTAACGAATATGGGTTCATGAGATGGGTTTTTTGAAAAAAGTATAACAATAATATGGACTCATTAAGCCTATAATGCAATACAATCTAGTATTAAAAAAAAAAAAAAAAAAAACACACAAGAAAACAAAATCTAACTTCAGTACAGTGACTTTGGCTATTCCACAGCATCTTACTGAACTTGTTACAGAAGATTTCCAAAATAGGCAGATTTTTAGGATGATTTGTTTAGGCTAAACCAAATAAAAATTTTAATTTATTTTTGATGCTCTTCAATTAGTATGGTATGACTCCCATCACTGAGTATTTTGTATTAAAATTAAGATGAGTTTGAAACTTTCATGTATAGGTTTGTTAGGGGGTGAAGCTCATTCCTCAACTTGCTTTGACAAATATTTTATGTGCCACTGTATACTATTTTAGAAGCTTATGAAAATTTTAAAAGGATGCTAACAAATATGTTGGGTCCATAATTTAAAGTACAGTAGGTTAAACTATATTTCAAGTATAGAGAATTTTTGTCACATTTAACACTTTAGAACTGCCATTTAAAAATAAAACACTACTGTTTTTGTAGAACATATTCTAAAAGTAGAGCTGTGTGCACTCCTGTGCTGCTTCTATAGCCATCAGCTAGCATCTCCTCTTCATAGGCACAGACATTATTAATTATGTTACAGAATGGAATTACCAGAACATGAATGGCAGTGTCAGTACTGACGACAACAACAAAACACACCAAAGAAACAAAGCAAAGGATCAAAAGTATACTCTCCAGCGTCTACAAAAAATCAAGAGAAAGTAAGCAATATTAAAACCAGTAATCCATCAGAATATTCTCCAACAGCCCCTTAAAGATCATAGAAGTTGTAAAGCCGTAACAGAAAAATATATGGAATGGAAAAAGTAAACATGGCCATCAAGTCTTTTTCTTTAAAATTTGTAACTTGCAAGGAATAGATACTTTTGTGGAAGGGATGTACTTCAGGATATGCAGCTTCATGGTGGTCTGGAGAGCAATAAGTGCTAAAGGGCCAGATCCCACAAAGTGAAGTACGCCTCCACTCCTTCCATTCCCTCTTCAGTGGGCTTCAAGGGCATTGAGCACCTCATAGATTCAGACTCAGTTTTCTTTATCCTTATACAAGCCAGAGTAGGAAGTAAAACTATTAACGAACTAAGTTTTATTTGAAAAGATGTTCTATATACTTGCCTGCACCACAACATATATCATTTAGAATAATGTGTACATCAGCACTCAGGAAACTGGACTCCATAACGTACTTTCTAAAGCTTATAAATGCTTGGTGAAAAAGACGAGCTGTGGAAGGAGGGGAAAAAATTTCACTGTTACATACAAAGTTTCACTTTGAAATACCTAATAGAACAAGCAAAATGTCAATTTAAATCAAGTTACTTAACTAGAAATAATATATTTTTCACAATATATCTTGTTCAGATCTTTTGTATACAAACATTCAGATTACAAAAGAAAAGCAAGCTGCTCAGACAATAGGGTTTGCCTGTAACAGTTTTGCTAAAAGCAGCTAAAAAATAAGGCAAAACCCAAGAGGACATATTTGTTTGATGTACGATGTGTGTGAGTTATTCTACTAGAAAGGAAAAAACACAAGAAAAAACATCCAGGTCATAACTTCATTTTAAAATATAGTTGGTGCCACAAATTACATTTTTCTTACCATCCAGCCCATTTTCTCCTCCCAGTCTCTGCATTTCTTTCCGCTTGTAAAACTTATTTAAGATTTTCAGGACTTCACCTGTAAGATAAAAATTTAGAATTTCTTAACTTAATTGACGTGTCAGATTAACCTTTGCTCAAAATATAATTAAGAAAGACTACAATTATTTTGTTCAACTCAGTCTAAGGTCCAGATTTTAAAAAGTATTTAGGCATTGCCTAACTTGACTTGGCAGCCTAGATCTCACCGAAAGTCAGTGGTACTTGAGCTCCTAAGTCATTTTTGAAAGTGGTCTATTTAGGCCTTGCCACACTGAGCACAACACCTAAATACCTTAAAAAAATGTGGGTCTAAATGTTTGTAAAAATACGAGCGCTTGTCGTCATGAACACACTCTTATTTTCGTTAAGTTTAATTACAACTGACATTGAGCCTTGTACTGGGGATGGCCATCATCTCAAGTGATTCCAGAGGAATTTCCATACTGGATCAGACCAGTGACCCATTTAGTTCAGTATCCTGTCTCTGACAGAAGCCTATCTCAGATACTTTATAGGAAGGTGCAAGAAAACATGTAGTGCACAGTTACTACTCTTGTTAGTTAATGGTAGGCTGTGACCCAAAGCATAATGGTTTACATCCCATACATACATACACACACTCACACACAACCATGACCACTTAGTTTCCTATTAATCTGGAGATTCTGTCAAAGGCTTGTTCAAATCACTTATTTCTTCTTTGATCACAACATAATAACACTAACATTATGTTAGCCCAATCAAAGAGAATATGCCACTTTCTAAACTGCTAAATAATTTTTTAAATATATAATAATGAAATATATTTAAGACAAGGCTGGAGCCTCCCCTGCAGCTGGTAGTGGGCAGAAGACAGAAAATTCTACAAATTTCACACCAAAAAGTTTCCTGGAAAATACCCCTCAAGATGACTGCACCAAGAATCAAAGAGGAACCAGGGGAGATGAAGGCTTCCAACCCCACACGTCTATAGGAAAGACAGCACCTAGATCAGAAGAGATATGCTGCAAGGAGCTGTGTGTTACTGCTCTGACCATTCTCCCCACCAGGCAATATGGGTCCTACAGGAGTTGTGGTACTATTAGCAGATTTCCCCTCCAGTTGCTCAGTAGCACGTACATCATGTTATCCTTTCACTCAGCCCATCAGATTATTTTGAGCAAGTAGAGTATTGATAGCATATAAGAAGTCCTTTAAAAAAGCAGTACTGTGTAGTCAGAATATGAACTATGTAAGAATAGTGCACACATGCGCAACAATGTTGATCCTTACAAACCTAAACAGAAATTATCAGACTAATTTTAGGCACCAGTCTTGACAGCTTCCCTTTAACTTAACAGAAAGGAAGACTAAAATGTTAATTGCCTATGTGGCAAATTGAGTGGTTTATGAAAACCTGACTACATATTCACTCAGGCAACAGTTTCTTCTCTACTGTTCTGCATTTCTCCCTTCTCTGCAGTCACCCCTTTACAGTTTGCTAAACATGACTGCAAATACTTCAAGTAACGGAAGTCTAAACATAAATAATAACCATTGCATCCCATCACTTCAACCCCCTAGCCTTAGTTTAAAAAAAGAGAAAAAAAATCGAGAATTCACAGATCAATATTTGAATTTGAGTGTTTAGGGGGAAAAGGAAAGAACGAGTTGTTTTAAGAAGATTAACACTTAGAACCAAGATACCCGCCAGAAAACTTTTCGGTGTATAAAATGACAAATCCCAAATTCCAACCAGATTAGACCCCATGCTATAGGATATAAACCTAAATAAATTTAAATGGAAATCTGGTTTTAATCTTAATTCTACCAGCCCTGGCAGTACTATAATTTTAAAACCATTACAAATTAAAACCTCATTTACCTTTAAAATAAAGGGTCACTACCTTTAAACATCTAATAACAAAAGCTACGCGTTAGGTCTTTCTTGAACAGGCAGTTCACCCATTTCAGAAGTATCCAAATAAAAATGGTCAGACAATATAAGCTAATATATCTAGAGTTGGAGCAGTCACTCCAACTTACCCAATACACTTGGCTATTGTAGCACATGGTACAGTGCAAAAGATATATATGTTCTAAGAATACTGAAACATCAGAAAGCAAGCTAAGAACAGCGTAATAACCCTTAACTCTGCAAGGCAGATGCAGGGTTACATCAGAGTTGCATCTGTTTATGTCAGGTATGAATTTAGCACTTATTAAAAATTAAGAGCCCAGGTGGCAAAAATAGTGTACTTCCATCTGCAACTGAATAGAAGATTGCACTCATTCTACTAGACATGCTTTGTCCATTATCCAGACATTCATGATCTATCCTTTAATTACTTCTACTCATACCTAATATTCCTAAAGCTCTGAAAACATGAAGAACTAAATATTATTGTAAAAGTTAACATGACTAATCAAGAGAAAAAGCTAAGCATTCTGAGCAACTTCAGGGTAAATTTTACTTTCAAGATTCCCCTTACAAGCTACACGTCAACTGGGCCTCATTTCTGAGCTCACAAAAAAAAATAATATATTTTATGAAATAGCTGACCTGGCCACGAAGTACAATTGGTCTAGATCTGTACACATTCCCATCCGCCACGTTTTTGCCAGCCTTTTTTTTTTTTTTTTAATTTATTTTGTATCTCATGGTGCCAGCACAGACTGCAACAGTTGAATGCCTTAACTTGCACCCTGCAGCATCAGCTAACAAAGGCAGAGTACCAGCAGAACAGTGCAGGGGGGACTTTGGCACCACTGTATTGCATTTTCTGTTCAATCCCCAAGCCCTGAGCGAACTAGAACTAGAACTGCACTCAAACAATTATGAATGCATGGTGAGAATATTTTATTCGCTAGAGCTCTCTCTCTCTCTCTCTCAAAAAAAAAAAATAAAATAAAAAATGAAACCCCTAAATTCCTCTTTGGACTTTCCAGAACTAGCTTTGAGAAGAGTGGGGAGAGCAGGAGATACTTAATGTTTGACACTGAGTACATGTCCATGAATCTAAACTCAGTTACAAAACTTACAGGTCAGTGTTATTTATTATCCTAAGCAGTAAGGCATTGGGACTACACCATACCTCTTGACTTTAAGCACACTCTCTTCCTTTCTAAGGGCTTGTCTACATTACAGAGCTTTGGCCAATACAATGATGCCAGCAGAGCCCAAGTGTAGATGCAGCATAAGCCAGCAAAATAAGTTTGTCTGCCTGCACAGTAACACCACCTCCCTGAGGTTGCTAGCTAAGCCAAAGAAGAACTCTGTCACCACAGTCACATCTACCCTGGAGGTTTTACTGGCATAGCCATGTCAGCTAGGCGGTGTAATTTCTTTTCTCCCACGCTCGCTCCTAGCCAATGCAGCTATGCCAGCAAAACTTTGTGCCGTAGACCTGGCCTAAACTATTCTACTTCCTCTCACAATTAGAATCTCATGCCTAAGGCCATGTCTTCACTAGGAGAACTTTACTATTAAAGGAATACTGACCTACTATACTGGCGAAGTGCTCCTACGGTGGGCACAGCTACATCAGCAAAGCTGCAGTTTCTACCAGTGTGGTAAAACCACCCCCCACACATGAAACAAGATATACCAACAAAGCTGCACTTTTGCTGGTATAGCTGCATCTACACTAGGGACTTCTGTTGCACAACTCTGACAGTCAGGGATCACAACTCTTCATATCGCTGACCAATACAGCAGTGCCAGTAAAAGTCCACAGCACAGATCTAGCCTTAATGTCTGTACACCACCTAGGGACAGCAGAGCCCTGATCCCTAACTGAGACCTCTAGATAGTATGCTACATAATAAAACAATATTACCTCCTCCCAGCTAAGTCAAAGAGCATCTCTCTAATTATTCTTGATCTTTCTGTTGTCTTTCACACAACTGAGCACTCACCATTTACGTTCTATACCTACATGAATCTCTGTTCTCTTGATTATTATTCTGTCTTTCTAATTGTTTTTTCAGCATCACCTTTAGGGGCTCCTCATCTTCCTATCTATTAAAAGCGGTAAAGAGTCCTGTGGCACCTTATAGACTAACAGACGTCTTGGAGCATAAGCTTTCATGGGTGAATCCCCACAGGGATCTATCCTCTGGTTTCATCTCGTCTCTCTCTCTCTCTGTATATATGCACTTTATATAGATGATCCCCATATTTACCTCTGACCTTTCCCCTTCTGAGCAATCTAGCATAGTTGAAAATTTGACTATTTACTCCTATTCTTCACTTTGGCTAAGAGAGACAATCTCTAGTCAGAGGACAGCACTTTAGCTCTCATTCCTTGACTACTTTGCTTCTTTAAGAGCATTTTGTGAGGTACTTTGTCACAGGCTTTTTGACATTCCAAGTAAGTTACAGAAGCTTTGCAGGTTTGTCCCCAACATGTCATATTCATCTAGGTGCTTTTAGTTCTATTTTTAAACCTTTATCCTAAATCTGAAGTAAAGCTCACAAGACTGCAATTCCTAGCATCAGTGTTAGCATTTTTTTTTCTTCCAAAGACAGGTTCAACATTTCACACTCTAGTCTTATTGAAGAGTAGCCAATTTCAATGACAGATTGGATATTTTTGCTAGAAGCTCAACTGCCTTATTCTTAAACTCCTTCAGAACCCTTGCACATATACCATCAAGTAAATCCTAGTGATTTCTTGCTCTTAATTTTAAATCAAATTTGTTCTAGCAATTCCTATTCTGATACTTTGAACTCTAACAGCACCTCAACTTTATTACCTGAGAAGTGTAGGTCCAAAGGCAGAATCTCTTCATCACTTCCTGTGCTGAAGGCAGATAAAGATAAGATCACTCAGCTTCTCTGGTATGTCTGTATCTTTTTTATGCCCTGGTAGACCAATGAACCAACTGACTCTCTCTCAGGTTTCCTGATATACTTAAAATATTTCCTGTCATTTATTTTATGTCTTTGGCTATTTATTCTTCAAAACCCCTTCAACAATTAACTTTCATGTTATATTTCAGAGTAACAGCCGTGTTAGTCTGTATTCGCAAAAAGAAAAGGAGTACTTGTGGCAC